ACAAAACCACGTCAGTCAACCCATATCCACCATCTGGTCACATGCTCAACAGCTTGGCCGGGCGCTCCAGGACCTGGCCGGACACTGCAGGACCTGGCCGGACACTGCAGGACCTGGCCGGACACTGCAGGACCTGGCCGGACACTGCAGGACCTGGCTGGACACTGCAGGACCTGGCCGGACACTGCAGGACCTGGCCGGACACTGCAGGACCTGGCCGGACACGTGGCTACACCCTTCACAGACAGACTCGAGGCTTATGATACATTACTCCTGGACATATAAGATGAAGGTCTACGCCAGCTCCACGCTCCATAATGTCTCAAGACGTAGGAAGAGCGACACAATTTTGTTTTATTTAAAGAAAAAAGAGAGAGAGAGTGGAGGAGAATGGAAGGTAGAACATAACATGATAATAACATGGGGAAAAGAGTCAGTAACCTCTGCCAGACACCACAGGCAAAGTGATCATCGGAGTGAACTGGAGAAGCAAGGAAGAATGGGCGTATGGCGGTCAATAAAAGTAAAGCAGGGGGAGGAGTAGACCTGATCAGTTAAACAGGGGGGGGGGGGGGCAACATGTAATATAAATATATCTGTAAATATTTTAAAAATATATGTTTTTGAGTAGATTAAAGAAAACTACATCACTGTTGATTAAATTGCACAAGTAGAAATATATCAATATATCTTGATGACTTGATTAAATATAATATATGCAACACATAAACAATATAGGTACACATATACAAACATATACATACATATATGAATTAATAATTATGTAAAAAGATTCATGCAGAAGCGGTGAGTTTTTTTCAGATATTCTAGCAACAATCCCGGTGGTATATACGATTTTATACAATTATACATATACATAGGCTTTAAATTCATGCTTGAGCAAGGTCCTTATATATAAGATACTTGATGTATTGGACTCAGCTGACAACGGAGGAGGTTTGCCCGTGGTGCAAGCAGACTGTTGGGGTGTTCCTCAAGCACTTACCATATTATAAGTTGTTTCTCGAATATACCTTCATGGATAAGTGCCTGGTACAAGTTTTACCTCGGTGTCTCAGGTCCTAAATACAATCATGACCTTGGTGTCTCTGCTGCCTGGTACAATCACTACTTTGGTAACGCTGACTGCAGTTATAACAACCTGTAGTCAATTATCCAGGCACTGTGCCACACCATGGAGCCCCCCCTTCCTCCAGGCACTGTGCCACACCATGGAGCCCCTCCTTCCTCCAGGCACTGTGCCACACCATGGAGCCCCCCCCTTCAGGCACTGTGCCACACCATGGAGCCCCCCCCTTCCTCCAGGCACTGTGCCACACCATGGAGCCCCCCCCCCCTTCCTCCAGGCACTGTGCCACACCATGGAGCCCCCCCCTTCCTCCAGGCACTGTGCAACACCATGGAGCCTTCCCTCCTCCAGGCACTGTGCAACACCATGGAGCCTTCCCTCCTCCAGGCACTGTGCCACACCATGGAGCCTTCCCTCCTCCAGGCACTGTGCAACACCATGGAGCCTTCCCTCCTCCAGGCACTGTGCCACACCATGGAGCCTTCCCTCCTCCAGGCACTGTGCAACACCATGGAGCCTTCCCTCCTCCAGGCACTGTGCCACACCATGGAGCCTTCCCTCCTTCAGGCACTGTGCCACACCATGGAGCCTTCCCTCCTCCAGGCACTGTGCCACACCATGGAGCCTTCCCTCCTCCAGGCACTGTGCCACACCATGGAGCCTCTATATTTTTTCGGTAACTTCTGCGTCATGTGAACAGAACAAATTGTTTCTTTCAGATGGAGAATATTACTGTAAGCAAAATTATTGATGTGTAAATATTGAAGTATAAATACTGGCAATGGCAGTTTCCAATGTGATGTTGGCGGTAGTGGTCAGGTTGGTAGCATGATGGTGCTGGTGATGTAGAGTAGTGATGATATGGTGTCCAGTGATAAATGGTGATGCATGCTAGTGATGGTGTGGTGCACAGTTGTAGTTAATGTGCTGGTGATCCATGGTAGTGAGTGTGACAAGTGTTTACATAGCCTGTGCTTCTAGTGAGGACTTTGCAGAACAACGAGGAGCCCATGCACTGTGCAACCAACGACAACCTGACAGGAATCAGTCTTAAGAAGCAACGAGGGACTCGATCTGTCACGCCACTGTGAATGAGACGATCTGGATGTCACTGGCTCCGTGGGAAAGCAACCCGTCCTCTAAAAAATAACGTCGCTTTTTGCTGGTATGCGCGGCGCTATGGCCAAAAGTGGACGTAATTTAAAATGAAATCGACTCACAAAAGTGACGTACTGTCCCGTTTTCTGTTTGAGTCGTCCGGCTTACTCGGAAAGGTTAGGAGGGGAAAGACGGGAGGGGGCGCAGCATGGGACGAGAGGGGGCGCAGCATGGGATGGAGCAAAGACAAACTAACCTAACCTCTTCCTAGGCCTAATACACGATATCTGAGACCTATTATAGTACATATGTGTGCTATACTAGGCCTAGGAATATTTAAGTATGTTATTTAGCTTAATTTTTGTTTGCGACTCTATAAAGTGAATAGTACAAAGTTCCACTATCAAAACGGCACTCTATGAACTATGGTGCACATAGTTACAACCACTACCATGTAAACAAGAGAATGGGTTGAACCCCACACCCTATATCTTCTACCCAGTAGCGCACACGGGACCCATCCTATAATTTGCTCATCCAGGCACTGTGCCACACCATGGAGCCCTTCCTCCAGGCACTGTGCCACACCATGGAGCCCTTCCTCCAGGCACTGTGCCACACCATGGCACAGCGGTGTGATGAGTAAAAACTAACTCACACCTTACATGCCTTCGCCTAACCCCGTCGGGGATTACTCCATACCAGCGACCTGTACGCGTAATCGTCCGAGCACTGGTTGAGTTCGTGCTCCTGGGTCGGGTTCCCCTTGGTTCTATTATTTCCACTCGGAAAATAAATATTATTGATGGTGTAAGCTGGTGGACGTTTCAGCTGCAAGAGATAACTTATACTACCAAGTTATTCCTAACCGCAGTGTTTATAAACACAACGAAGAATAAATGAGACGAGACAATCACAGGTAATGTTCTGGTGGAAGAATATTTATTATTCGCAAATGGAACATTTAATGTTTAGCAACAGACTCCCAAGGCTTGTGGTCAATAATACTTTTATATGACATTATTTGGGACAGGAACAAGCAAATTAAACATACACACAAAACAGTGCTACCATAACTCCCACACAACAGGTGCTATCATAACTCCCACACAACAGGTGCTATCATAACTCCCACACAACAGGTGCTACCATAACTCCCACACAACAGGTGCTATCATAACTCCCACACAACAGGTGCTATCATAACTCCCACACAACAGGTGCTATCATAACTCCCACACAACAGGTGCTATCATAACTCCCACACAACAGGTGCTATCATAACTCCCACACAACAGGTGCTATCATAACTCCCACACAACAGGTGCTATCATAACTCCCACACAACAGGTGCTATCATAACTCCCACACAACAGGTGCTATCATAACTCACACAAAACAGTGCCACCATAACTCCCACACAACAGGTGCTATCATAACTCCCACACTCCACAACACCTCACAACACACCCCACAGCCCCCCCCCCCACAAGACACACACAACACAACACACATACATTACCTGAAGTGGCCAGCAGTTGTTCATCACCTCACTGGTGTTGCTCGTACACCTCACCCTCCAACTCATTACTCTTGAACACAACCAATCTGTAACCTGATGCAAACACGGGGTAATTAAGGAAAACTGGTATTCATGCCCCCTCCCCCTCCTCCCCGCACGCGCACACACACACACACACACACACACACACACACACACACACACACACACACACACACACACACACACACACACACACACACACACCACTTGCCTTAACCATCCTGTGTTCGAGTCATTGAAATTAACGTCTGGATACACAGTTGTGTATTATCCATAAGGGCAATTCAGGAACCCGACCTGGATCACACGAAAACCCCATCAGATCACGGCAGCAAATTGGGAAACACCATCAGATAAGATCGCAGTCAGTCACGAAGTCTTAAAACCATTATATCACGATGCATTAAAAATTATCAGATCCCGGTATTAAGCTAGAAACCAACAGATCATGGCAATAAACTCAAAATCCCATCAGACCACGCTGACGAGCTCAAAACCCTATCAGATCATGATAACAAGCTCTGACGGATCAGGTCATGGCAACAATCTCAAAAACGCCATCAGATACCGGCAAGAAGAGAAAAACGCCGGAGAATGGCACTAAGACATCTTGTGCAAATGGGTTGTGTATCCTCGGGCTGGCTTGCAAAGGAGGAGTGTGTTTAAAGCAGAACGAGGCGTGTGTGTGTGAGAGACTCACCAGAATCCTGTTCTTGTTGGAGTACTTGCCGGCGGTGCCCAGGCCTGTGGAAGGGAGGGTTGGGAAGGAGGAGGAGACCACAGCATTAGTCCAGGGCAGGGCAGAGGTTGCACCACAACAGAGTACCAGTATTGTTATACTGAAGGATAAGACTATTGCACTTTAAACAATCCAAGCACGTATTAGTATTTATAAAATCCAACATTCCAGTTGAGAATATTATATAGTTTGATTCTAATCAACAATTTAATAGAAAGATACGTTTACTGGAAGACACTAGTTGTTAGTTATTAGTCCAAGCCAGAAAATAGCAATTTGGCAAAGAAAACCGGACATAATATTATATATATATATATATATATATATATATATATATTATATATATATATATATATATATATATATATATAATCTCGAACCCATACTCCCAGAAGCAACGCAACTGGTAACTACAGGGCGCCTTAATCCGCTGGACCATCACGGCCGTCAAAAGGAGGTGATAGCCGAGGCTATTTGAGCCACTTCCCCGGCGGCAACTCGGATGGTAATCTTGGGCATAGCATTTCACCAAATCACCTCATTCTTTGGGGCACACGTGAGGAACACAAATGCGAACAAGCCTGAATGGTCCCCAGGACTATATGCGAATGAAAACTCACACCCCAGAAGTGACTCGAACCCATACTCCCAGAAGCAACGCAACTGGTAACTACAGGGCGCCTTAAGAAGTGGCGCCAGGGAAGTGATAGCCTCGGCTATCACTTCCTTTTGACGGCCGTGATGGTCAAGCGGATTAAGGCGCCCTGTAGTTACCATATATATATATATATATATATATAATATATATATATATTATATATATTTATATATATATATATTTCTCACAGACATATATACTCAGTGCATGGGGTTACCGGCGGTGCCCGGGGTCGTCCCGGTGACAGACATATAGTATAGATATACAATGTTGTGGTGGCCGCCTCCGTCTTGACAAGCCTGGCCATGACGGGTTAGTCTTGTGGCAGTGAAAGTTTTACTCCACTATGATAAAGATATTTTGTCATAACACAGTGGAAAGTTGTGCTGTGATGGGAGAAGTGTGTAGTGATTGTTTATATGTGTGTGTATGTAGGTGCACTCACCTAGTTGTACTTGCAGAGGGTTGAGTTTTGGCTCTTTTGGTCCCGCCTCTCAACCGTCAATCAACTGGTGTACAAGTTCCTTAGCTTCTTTAGCTCTATCATATCTACATTTGAAATTGTGTATGGAGTCAGCCTCCACCACATCACTTCGTAGTGCATGCCATTTACTAACTACTCTGACACTGAAAACGTTATTTCTAATGTCTCTGCGGCTCATTTGGGTACACAGCTTCCACCTGTTTCCCCTGTGCGTGTACCACCCGTGTTACTATCCTTGTCTACCCCTGTCAATTCCTCTGAGAATTTTGTATGTGGTGATCATGTCTCCCCGAGCTCTTCTGTCTTCCAGCGACGTGAGGTGTAGTTCCCTCAGCCTTTCCTCGTACCTCGTGCCTCTTAGTTCTGGGACTAGCCTAGTGTCATACCACTAGGTGTGTGGGGGGGGGGAGGGGTTGCGTGAGGGAGAAAGTGTTAAGAGGAAGTAAGATCTGAGGGTGACGACCCGCAGCTCGCCCACGAACACTTTCATCATCACTTGAAGGGAAGGTGAGTGATGGCTCCAGCTGCCGGTACAGCCTCACTGATTGTTCTTTGTTGTCTCACCTTCCCCATTGGTGTTGTCTTTGTGTTGGGGTGTTGCATGGTTTGTGTTGATGTTGCTGGGAGTTGCCGGGGTAATCCTGAGGGTGCTGCACACACACACACACACACACACACACACACACACACACACACACACACACACACACACACACACACACACACACACACACACACACACGGGACACTACAACAATACAACATGTACATATATATCCACAACTGAGCATCACAGTGCACAGTAGCAGGAGCCTACAGTGCTCGAGCGGCCTCGTCAAGTACAACTGAGAGGTACCCTCCAGGGCGTGGGCCATCTCCGGCCCAGCTGGCAGCTACTTACTCGCCACAGAGTCCTGCGACTGGATCTGCGGCAGGACGAACTCTTGGGCTTCTGGGTGATGAAGTTCGATGAAGAAGAGGTAGATCATGACGCCCAGGATGGCTCCGATGTGAGGCGCGACCACAGGAACCCACCACCAGGCCAGACCCTCGCTGGTGGCCGCCCTGTAGGAGGCACAGAAGGGGGTTAGTGGCACAACAGGACACGAGGGTCATTGCTAACGGTGTGTGAAGAACCATCTCTAGGTACACCACACGAGGAAGGTGTGTGTGTGTGTGTGTGTGTGTGTGTGTGTGTGTGTGTGTGTGTGTGTGTGTGTGTCTGTGTGTGTGTAAGGGACAGGAAGGGTTGTGATAATATCGGCTAAATTAATGATTCGGTCATATGATTTAAATTTACCGGTCATACGATTTATAGACTGTCTTACCAGTCTTTACGAGAGCCTGGTAAGACAGTCACATGGATGTGAGTACCGTAGACTACTGGAGGTACCATGTTAATTATTGCATGACTTAATGCTGCGACCTGCGTAATTGGTTTGATGTAAGAGGTAAATTATGCACCATATACTGCAAAGGAAACACACACACACACACACACACACACACACACACACACACACACACACACACACACACACACACACACACACACACACCCACACACACACACAAACACACACAAGAGAGGCGTGCGGACACTCACGTGAAGGGGTCATCCCCCCAGCCAGCGAGGAGGGTGAAGAGTCTGGGCGCCAGGTCTCGGGCGGGGTTGATGGCGTAGCCACAGTTGAAGCCGAAGCAGATGCCGATGTTGAGGACGGTGAAGCCGACGAGCAGCGGCACCATATACTTGGGCACCTCCATGTTGCGGGGGTCGGTGATGGCACACACGCATATCAGCAGCAGCATCGTCCCCATCACCTGCACAATCATATACACACACATATACCAAACTGTCAATACAAGGTAGACACTGTAGTCCAGATACACATGTAAGGAAATGCACACGACTGTGTACAGTATCAATCAGATAAGAGTAGACTTTAGTTTGTAGATATTTCGCTTGTTAGGACTTTAGCTAATGCAATAGATACCCTGGAGAAAGACAAGGGATAGTGAAGATAAAGTATCAACACTGGGGAGAGGTGAGGTCAGGTGGTGTGAGCGAAGTGAGGTGAACAGATGCATTCTATATATTACGTTTTAGATTTATGAAGTATTCTTACGGGCTATTCATGCCCGTGCCACCTCTTGGGTGGCTTAATCTTCATCAATCTATGAAGTATTATTAGAAAAGAAATTAGCAATGTTACATTTTTCTTTATTCTGTTGTCTGGCGTTGCAATGTTGGGTGGTTGCAGACTGTATACGCTTTAGCCTGTTGTTCCCTCTGATAATGAGTTAAGCGTCAATAAAGTTCACAATCGACTTGATAATGGTCCAGGACGGACCAAAACGTCGTCGTCTCATCTTCTGGTGTGTGGTTGAGTCTTCAGCCACTTGACGTGTCGTCAGTATCTTAACAAAGCATTACAGGGTGTAGTACACAGATCGGTACTGTGTATACTATAACTAATGATACTGGTTCTACCTTTTGACGAGGATATTGATGGTCGTTGATGTCTTGTCCACGATCACTAAAATGTCTAGAAAACGGTTACTAGACAAAGGAACGACACCTAAAGTGGTTGTATGATGTGACGATAATCTCCTTCAAGAGAGATGGAGCCTGCTTTTCCCTCCAAACTACGTCTCAGAAGCAACTAATATAGAAGATATATCCAACAAGTACAACAACAAGTTTTGCCCCAGAGCAAAACGTATCCAACACCGGCGCACCTGCTCCACCTCCGCCACTCAAACCGGCAAACTACTTGACCATCGCCTGCCTCTCGCTGATTGGCTGGCGCCCGTCGCACCTGCTCCTCCACCCGCCACACGAGCTGATGTCTGAGCCACCACGACCTGAGGAGGGCAGAATATCTAGTGCTTTCCACAAGTTAACACGTCTCATTGGTAGACTTAGCCTTGGCTTACGTGTACTAAGGGAGGTGGCAGCTTGAAGCCAATATTCCTGCACTAATATAACTTACTTTGATATTACTCACTTGTATTAACGTAACTTTTCATTTGCCAGTGATTATTCTTATTATTTTGTTTGATTGATTTCTCTATTACAATTTTTATGTCCAATTTTATTCATGTTTTGCTTTTCTAACGTAATTAAAATTTCATTGTTAAATTTACTTGTGTTTTGTGTGTCTTCCCATTACCTTACCACAGACGAAAGTTCCAGCTTTTTTCTTTTTTTTCTTTTGTGTGACGAGGCCATACCCCTAGCTTTTGAAACAGCCGAACACCAACGCGTTACCGTCACAATGATGTCGTGTCCCAGGCACGTGACTGGTTCAAAGGAAATTTAAGGTAACGACTCCACTCTGATCGAAGGACATGTCACCTTATGACCTCAAGCTCTGTACGACTTGGTGTGAGTGTAGTACACGTGTGCCGAAGCCACGTGAGTGATTCAGGTGTGCTGGTGTCACGTGCTAGGATATAGGTGTGTTGGTGCCACATGTTCGGTTACAGGTGTGCTGGTGCCACGTGTAGTCAACACTCATGCTTCACGGCCAAACTTTCGCCTCTATAATTAAACACGTGACTTTGAATATTTACAGAAAATAGAGAAATTGTTAGTAAGCTGATACATGATAGTGGTGAAGAGATACATGGTGGTGGTGTAGGGATACATGGTGGTGGTGTAGGGATACATGGCGGTGGTGTAGGGATACATGGTGGTGGTGTAGGGATACATGGTGGTGGTGTAGGGATACATGGTGGTGTAGGGATACATGGCGGTGATGTAGGGATACATGGTGGTGGTGTATGGATACATGGTGGTGGTGTATGGATACATGGTGGTGGTGTAGGGATACATGGCGGTGGTGTAGGGATACATGGCGGTGGTGTAGGGATACATGGTAGTGGTGTAGGGATACATGGTAGTGGTGAAGAGATACATAAGGAAGTGTGAGCAGTGAAGGGTGAGTGTTCCCGTGCTCCAGTAGCGTGAACACAACAACCTCACAAGACAATATATTTCGTAATGTCTTCCCAGACGATAAGAATACGATAAAACACTATTAGATCGCAGATGTTACATTGTTCTGACTCCTAGTTGTATACGTGTGTATATATAATACCAAACTATTCATACACACGCACATGCCTACGGTGCTAGAGAGGAGGAGGGAGAGAGGGAGACATGATACAAACGTATAAAATGCTTAGGGGAATTGACAGCGTGAAAAAAAAGTTTACAATGAATACCAACATAACAATGGGTCACACATAGAAGCTTGAGACTCAAATGCGTCATAGAAATCTTAGAAAGTTTTCTTTTAGCGTAAGTGTAGTGAGTAAATGGAATGACCCAAAGGTACAGGTTGTAAAGGCTAACTCCATTCATAACTTTAAAAGCAGGTATGATAGAGAAATAGGTCATGAGTCATTACATTAGACAACCAACGGCTAGAAACGCGGAGTCCAAGAGCTAGAGCTCGATCTTGCATGCAAAAATAGGTGAGTACACACACACACACACACACAGTACCTTTGACACAGTACCCCATAAAAGGATCTTATAAAAGTTGGAACAACAGGCAGGAATAAAAGGTAAGGTGCTCCAGTGGATAAGGGAGTATCTAAGCAACATGAAACAGCGAGTAACTGTGAGGGGGAGACATCAGAATGGCGAGATGTCACCAGCGGAGTCCCACAGGGCTCTGTACTTGGACCCATCCTGTTTCTAATATATGTAAACGATCTTCCAGAGGGTATAGACTCATTCCTCTCAATGTTTGCTGATGCAAAAATTATGAGAAGAATCAAGACAGATGAAGATAAACAGAGACTACAGGACGACCTGGACAAACTGGAGGAATGGTCTAGAAAATGGCTACTAAAGTTCAACTTAGGAAAGTGTAAAGTAATGAAATTAGGGAAGGGAGCAGAAGGATAAACACAAGGTACCATCTGGGAGGTGAAATCCTGCAAGAGTCAAATAGAGAGAAAGATCTGGGGGTCGATATCACACCGAACCTGTCCCCAGAGGCTCACATCAAAAGGATATCATCAGCGGCATATGCTAGATTGGCCAACATAAGAACTGCCTTTAGAAACTTGTGTAAGGAATCGTTCAAGACCCTGTATACCACCTATATCAGACCAATCCTGGAATATGCAGCTACAGCATAGAGTCCATATCTAGTTAAACACAAGACAAGGTTAGAGAAGATTCAGCGGTATGCCACCAGGCTCGTCCCGGAACTGAGAGGTATGAGCTACGAGGAAAGGTTGACGGAGTTGAACCTCACGTCCCTAGAAAACAGAAGAGTAAGGGGAGACATGATAACCACCTACAAAATTCTCAGGGGAATTGACAGGGTGGATAAAGACAAACTCTTCAGCACGGGTGGGACACGAACAAGGGGACACAGGTGGAAACTGAGTACCCAAATGATGCCCCAGAGACATTAGAAAGAATTTGTTCAGTATCAGAGTAGTTAACAGATGGAATACATTAGGCTGTGATGTGGTGGAGGCTGACTCTATACAAAGTTTCAAATGTAGATATGATAGAGCCCAGTAGGCTCATGAATCTGTACACCAGTTAATTGACAGTTGAGAGGCCGGACCAAAGAGCCAGAGCTCAACCCCCGCAAGCACAACTGGGTCAGTACGGGAGACTAGGTTACACCCCCCCCCCAAACACTAGCTTGTTACCAAAATAGCGCCATAGCAAAATGTATAATGAATATGGAGACAAAGCACCATATTTTATGGCGTCTTGTAATTACTGTTCTGTGTTAAGTGTTGTGATACTATCTCTCAGTAAAACATTTGGCAGATCAATGTATACGCACTCAAGATGATCGCACTAGTGTTTACCTTAGTGGCCTTGCACTCCAAGGTTGCCTGGCTGAGTGTATCAGACCCGCTAAACTCCAAGGGTGGAGTGCCTGGCTGAGTGTATCAGACCCGCTACACTCCAAGGGTGGAGTGCCTGGCTGAGTGTATCAGACCCGCTACACTCCAAGGGTGGAGTGCCTGGCTGAGTGTATCAGACCCGCTACACACCAAGGTTGGAGTGCCTGGCTGAGTGTACCAGACCCACTACACTCCAAGGTTGGAGTGCCTGGCTGAGTGTACCAGAGCCGCTACACACCAAGGTTGGAGTGCCTGGCTGAGTGTATCAGACCCGCTACACTCCAGGGGTGGAGTGCCTGGCACCTTTGTGGCGGTAGATGTCACCTCTAACATTCTCACGAAGGAAACAAAAGACAGAAAAGCAATAATTATGGTAATTGCATAAATAAGAAGCAATATTCTTGTTATACTTCAATATGTAATATTGATTCTATCGTTACAAGTTTCATTATCTTGTAGCACAGTGGGCTACGTCCTCGGCTCATAATCTATCAACCAGGGTTCAATTCTTGCTGCCGAACAGAAACGATTAAGCACGTTTCCTTTCACTTAATATATCTGTTCAATAGCAAATGAAATAGGTGGCGGGAGTTAGCTAGTTGTTGTGGTTTGCATCCTGGGGAGAGTCAGTAGTTGGCCTAGGGGAGACCTGGATAAGACTTCAGGCTTCCTGTCCCCCACATTGAGAATATGTATATCACGTTGTTGAGGTCTTCCATGCCAACTGTACAGCTCATACTTCCCCCTTGTTCTTCACCTCACAATAAGGTGTACCTTTGACTCTTTTAATCTACCTTCATTCTGAAGAGCCTTGAAGATAAGCATTGTCACTCTTGGGTTTATGTTGTGGTGAGCATTTATGACCAGTAAGGTAAGGCTCTTGCGCGCCACCCAGGTGCTGTCACCTGCGCCAGGTCACGTTGTAGCAGCACATTGATAATTAAGATTACATGTAGCTCATCACGTGTAAATTGCTTAGCTTAGAAATTGTTATGGTCCTGTTCTTAAACCATTATGCTGTAAAGATGGACTGTAAACTAACTGGCTTATCAAGAGTGTAACTTGCTAAAGCTAAATTAATTTTGGGGTTGAATGTCTGAACCCATATGTGTCTCTGTACCCTTTATCACCACTACCCACAGGATGGGTATGGGGTCCACCACCACCCACAGGATGGGTATGGGGTCCACCACCACCCACAGGATGGGTATGGGGTCCACCACCACCCACAGGATGGGTATGGGGTCCACCACCACCCACAGGATGGGTATGGGGTCCACCACCACCCACAGGATGGGTATAGGGTCCACCACCACCCACAGGATGGGTATGGGGTCCACCACCACCCACAGGATGGGTATGAGGTCCACCACCACCCACAGGATGAATGTGGGATCCACCACCACCCACAGGATGGGTATGGAGTCCACCACCACCCACAGGATGGGTATGGGGTCCACCACCACCCACAGGATGGGTATGGGGTTCATCACCACCACCCACAGGATGGGTATGGAGTCCACCACCACCCACAGGATGGGTATGGAGTCCACCATCACCCACAGGATGGGTATGGGGTCCACCACCACCCACAGCATGGGTATGGGGTCCACCACCACCTACGGGATGGGTATGGGGTCCACCACCACCTACGGGATGGGTATGGAGTCCACCACCACCTACAGGATGGGTATGGAGTCCACCACCACCCACAGGATGGGTATGGGGTCCACCACCACCCACAGGATGGGTATGGGGTCCACCACCACCCACAGGATGGGTATGGGGTCCACCACCACCCACAGGATGGGTATCGGGTCCACCACCACCCACAGGATGGGTATCGGGTCCACCACCACCCACAGGATGGGTATGGGGTGCATAATAAATAAACAGAGCCGTTAGTGTTCCTACCGTTAACACCTGTAAGCATTAAGGCAAGGAGCCAGAACTTTGGGTAGTTCAGTTTTTATAATTTGATTATTTCACGAACAAGTTTATCAATAACAACGGAATTGAGCGGATGGTCGCAGTCTTTCCCAAGACTTAAACTCTTACATTTACTGGCACTGAAATGTATTTTGTAGGAGATGAAGTGCATTTTTTACACATTAATATGTACTTTGTCTGCATTAAAGTACATATTGTCTGAATTAAAGTGAATTTGTGATTTACAATTTAGAGAAGAAGAGGCACATGGCAGCTGTTACCACCAGGCAACAGTAGAACAGAAGCGCGTCTCCCGCTGTTTATGATCAACAGAAGACACGAGAACAGGACCTACCTGATCGCCGAAGCCATTACCGTTGGAGAGGTAGTCAGTGACAACGGTGCCGTTGATGTTGGTGATGACCCCCGGGTAGGTGGCCCAGATGCCCGCCGTGGCCATGGTCCGCTCCGGCTCGTAGGCGTCCAGAGCGTCTGTCACGGAGAGAGGACACCCTCAGGTACTGGCACTTGTCCGGTGCTCCGAGGACCACGCCCGTCTTCCCCATTATCATTCCTTAACACTGTTATCACCAGTTGTTAGTGTGTGTGTGTGTGTGTGTGTGTGTGTGTGTGTGTGTGTGTGTGTGTGTGTGTGTGTGTGTGTGCGTGTTTCTGTGTGTACACATTACAGGTAGGGAGCACTCTTATTAATTTACATTATATTGAAAAAGGCCAATCACTATAAACCCTTTGATCACACGAAGGGTCAAATGACTCTGTGTTCGAATTATGTTAACAAGGTCAGGGGTTGTAGAGTTGAGAATTGTGTTGCATCACAACAATGATCACATTCTAGCGTCTCGCTCTTTCTCAAGCTCATTATTTACACTTGACTCTGTAGCTTTGATTCGAATACAGCGTTGTTTGATCCCCGTCAGTGCAAGGGGTCAGTATGGTAGTAAAGGTGAAGTTACAGGAGCAGTGACATTGGTGGCCATAACTGGTTTAGGTTTTGTGTATATATGGCAGATTAGGTTTTGAATATGACGAGAGGCAGGACAGTGTTAAGTGTGTGTTGAGCACATACTCTGCCATCATAGTCAAGATTGTCACAGCACAGGATTATATCATTCGTATGAGTAGGTAAGAATTGTCAACATTGACATTATATTCATATATATTGGTATTATATTCCTCCAAGGAGTGCCGGACCAACCGGGCTGTGGTGGGTATGTGGGCCTGCGGGCCGCTCCAAGCAACAGCCTGGTGGACCAAACTCTCACAAGTCAAGCCTGGCCTCGGGCCGGGCTTGGGGAGTAGAAGAACTCCCAGAACCCCATCAAGCAGGTATCAACCAGGTATCAACCAGGTATTGTAGATTTCTACAAAAATATGCAAGATTTGCTATGAATAGATAATAATGATAGTTTGCAAATGAAGTAACTTGAATATTGCAACAGCCTTGAGTTGGTAGTGTCAATGGCAGACAAACTGTATGTGAAGAAGTGTATTGTGAGGTTAGCGTTGAGTCCACCACCACGTGACGAACTATCACCAATAGAAAGTCAAAACATTATAATCAACCAGCGGTTCATCTGGGGGGTGTTTACTGACGCAGGGAAGGGAATGGTAATTATAAGGAGAGAGCGGTAGGCCAGTAGGATTACATAGCACTTGCAAGACACGTGAAGACAAGGGACTGGGATGCGAGGAGGAAGGAACAATACCCAACCACTTGGACCAGCGGGGATCGAACGTGGACACGACAACAGGCGAGGTGTCGCTCTACCGATCAATCCAAGTGGGACAAGTTGTTACTAAGTTGTAAAGATTGCGAAGAAGGACCCAGTATAAGGTGGAGGTGATGCCGGAAGCACAACTTTCGGTTGTACATTATAACCGGCGCGGAATTATTTACTGAAGCTGAGTAATACAGTTGGCTCCGTTCTCAACTCACAGTCGGGGATCCCGCGTTCGAATGACGGACGGAGCGGAACGGAAATGGTTGGATACGTTTACTTTCACCTGGTGCTTCTATTCACCTAGCAGTAAATAGGTACCGGGGAGTTGGGCAACTGTTGTGGGGTGGTCTGGTTGACCAGACCACCAACCAGGAGGCCTGGCCAGAGACCGGGCCGCGGGAACCATCGCGAGGAAAGGGGTTGCATCCCGGGAAGAGTCAGTAGTTCTACATTGAGGAGATCCTCAGTGTTGCCGACGCCAGGTATTATAAACCACTATGTCTGGCGGAACCACTCTAGCAGAGGATAGAAATATTTTATCAATTGTTCTATTCATATAAATATCACCATTCAAATTGTAAATTGTTATTAAATTTATGTCTAAAAAGTGTGATTTATGCGGCTGTACACCAGTCCAGTCCAGGTAGGTTAGTGTAACCTCTTGTCCCTATACTCGGTGAGACGTGAACTGAGGTAACTACTTACTGAGGTAACTACTTACTGAGGTAACTACTTACTGAGGTAACTACTTACTTAGGTAACTACTTACTGAGGTAAGTACTTACTGAGGTAACCACTCACTGAGGTAAGTACTTACTGAGGTAAGTACTTACTGAGGTAACCACTCACTGAGGTAACTACTTTCTGAGGTAACTACTTACTGAGGTAAGTACTTACTGAGGTAACCACTCACCTAGGTAACTACTTACTGAGGTAACCACTCACTGAGGTAACTACTTACTGAGGTAACTACTTACTGAGGTAACTACTTACTGAGGTAACTACTTACTGAGGTAACCCCTTACTGAGGTAACCACTCACTGAGGTAACCACTCACTGAGGTAACCACTCACTGAGGTAACCACTCACTGAGGTAACCCCTCACTGAGGTAACCCCTCACTGAGGTAACCCCTCACTGAGGTAACCCCTCTCTGAGGTAACTCCTCACTGAGGTAACCCCTCACTGAGGTAACTACTCACTGAGGTAGACGGCGTAGACGAGGGAGGAGGCGAGGAAGGCCCCCAGATACTGGGCCACCATGTAGACGGGCACCTTACACCAGGGGTGCTTGCCCCACACTGCCATGGCCAGGGTCACGGCCGGGTTGACGTGACCTCCGCTGACCCCGCCGCTCACCAGTACCGCCAGGGTCACCGCCAAGCCCCACCCCCAGTTGATAGAGAAGAAGTCTCCACCTTCCTTGTTGGTCAGCACATACTGAGCCACAGACGCGTTCCCGAACACCTGTGCAAGGAAATAGCATCGTTAGGCCTAAGGGAGTCAGACTAACAGCAATTATTACAAATTCATTAAAATATTAACTTTTCGCTTTGATGTCCAAAGAGCTTGGAAAGGATGAGGGAGGAAGAAGGATGGGGCGATGAAATTCTTGGAAGAGGATTTGGATGTGGAGAGAGGAGGCTTGAAAGTTCGGTGGCCCGTCCACCTTGGATTGGAGATGTTTTTTCAGTCAAAGCCTGTAGCTTAAGTTCTTCTTGGGCGGCAGGAGGCTAGTGGTGGGGCAGGGTGATGTCGTCCTGGTTCACTTGAGGTGGTCTGTCTGGCTTGGAGGAGGCGTCTTCCTTATTGAGGTGGTGAGAGGTAAGTTCACTGTTGCTTGGTGGTGTCTTGGCCAGGAGGTATTCGCATGTACTTCCCAAATGATAGCTTTGGTATTGGTGTTCCTGTCGGGTCTTCATCTTCTTCCAGGAAGGTCACTTGTCCCCTCTTGAAGTCGAATTTAGGGTCGATGTATTCACTCTCCAGGGCGCAGAGGTCTACATAATGTTCCACGGTCTCGTGGTGGACAAACACAGGGTAAGGAATGCTGGTCCTGAGCTGGTTGATGATCCTGTTGCATTCTAAGGCAATGACCATTCTTGTGCTTCGAATGCCGTTGAAAGTGCCACCGTGATTGAGGTAAAGTCCATAGCAGGGCACTTTCTTGCTTGATTTGCTTGGGCTTAGGTCGAAGTCTGGGGCCTCATATGTGAAGGTCTCAGCCGAGGCTTCTAGGAACTCTGGTGCTGGTTCTGGTTCTGAATCTGATTCTGATTCCACTTGCTGACTTTTTAACTGATATTTGACTGGTTATATATATATATATATATATATATATATATATATATATATATATATATATATATATATATATATATATATATATATATATATATATATATGTGTAATCTTAGTATACTTTTGTCCTTTGTGTCGTGTGTATTCCTGAGGATGTCACGTTGTTAACGAAATATCAAAATAGAATGTAAAGACTTTATTTTCTTAGTCTAATTTCTTACTTTCTAATTTCTTAGTCTAATTAGTCTTACTTTCTTACTTTAATTCTTCACCATCTAGAGTCTAGATGGTGGAAGGTATTTACGCAGTGGAAAATATCTATAAGAAAAATTAACATTTATAATAACGCTGTTGTATTTAATACTTCTTGTATTACAGAACCTCCCCCATATATAGATGTAAACTTATATTATAAGTAGGCTACGCTAAACATACAATTGTGATTTAGATCAGATTTCAACACTGTTCCTGTGATCACAAAACCATGGGACTCAGAGGTTAGTCAATATGAATTTCCAGCTACTCTCTCTCCCTATCATCCTTCTTATTGCATTTCCCTACCTTCCTTTACCTCCCATATATCCCTTTTCCTTCGTTCCCCCGTCTCTTTTTCCCTCACTTTCCCCTCAGATATCTCCTTCCCTCCCTCCATTATTTACTCCCCCCCCCCCTCCCTTCCTCTCTTCTTCATCACTCCCTGTTCCCAAATTGTCAACATCCGCACTGTCCAATTACATCAATTATATCGTTCAATCAAGCTGTTGTTGCGCGTTAAACAATGCCTCAGTACAGAGCTCCAGCGACGGAGTCACCTTCTTAATATGGCGCAGTTATCTTCGTCACAATAATTCCCGACCTTAACAACAGAGCGGACGAGTGTGAATTAGATATTCTGTCGACTGCTAAATTATACCTTTTTTCTGAAATATAAGAATTACGTTGGGAAAGTTTCTTCATTGTATGAATTCTGAGTGTATATTCAGGTTTATTCAGGTAAGGTATATACATACAAGTGATGTTACATTAATGGATTGATATATAGATAGAGCTAGTACATACAATGCCTAAATATATATAGATATAGTTTATACACTATTGTATGATGTATGAATATTATTATATCCAACAAATTAATCCAACAAACTTTGTAAAATCTCTTTATGTATGTACCTTACCTAAATAAACATTTATTTATTTATTTATTTATTTATTATTTATTATACGAGAAGCTGTTGATCCTTGCATCAGACGGTCCAAGGGCCGCATACTCGACTTTCTTCCGTTAATCTCGCCACCGAACACCCAAACATTATTAGTTTTCACACCTGTTCCATGCGTAGGGAAACAGTGACAGATGTATGTGGTTAGGCTACGCCAGGTTGCCTTGTTTAGTTTAGTGTATGCTATATTAATTATATTACACTTATAATTCAAGTACTGCAGTAACGCATCTTTGAGCGCGCGTTTTCTTTCAGTGTTCACACAAAAGAAAACGTGAATTGATATACATATAAATTACACAGCGGGGGACCCGCATAACGGGGGATACTCTCACAGACCGCTGAGAATATAATAAACTATTTCAATTAGAATGCGTATACGGCATAAAGAGTTGCGTATACGGCATAGAGAGTTGCGTATACGGCATAGAGGGTTGCGTATACGGCATAGAGAGTTGCGTATACGGCATAGAGAGCTGCGTGTACGGCATAGAGAGTTGCGTGTACGGCATAGAGAGTTGCGTGTACGGCATAGAGAGTTGCGTATACGGCATAGAGAGTTGCGTGTACGGCATAGAGAGTTGAGCAACTTGTTTGTGAAGATACAGGACAGTTTCTCACAATGTGAGTCTGTCTATTTAATTGTTTACACTTAAAAATAAGGCTGTTAATTTAGGGAACAGATCACCGGGTAAATAATGGCTCTGAGATTTTTATTTACTTATTTATTTATATACAAGAAGGTACATTGGATTTTGAGAGTATATAACATTTGCATAACCTTTGCCACGAGACCCACAAAACCCACAGTGAGCCACGAGACCCACAAAACCCACAGTGAGCCACGAGACCCACAAAACCCACAGTGAGCCACGAGACCCACAAAACCCACAGTGAGCCACGAAACCCACAAAACCCACAGTGAGCCACGAGACCCACAGAGAGCCAGGAGACCCACAAAACCCACAGTGAGCCACGAGACCCAGAGTGAGCCACGAGACCCAGAGTGAGCCACGAGACCCAGAGTGAGCCACGAGACCCACAGTGAGCCACGAGACCCACAGTGAGCCACGAGACCCACAGAGAGCCACAACAGCAACAAGGAAGCACAAGATAATGATTAAGAAGTGCCGGAGCCAGAGAGGTCGACACAAGGAACCACCGCTGGAAACTCCTGCCTCGCGCACACAGACACGCTGAAGCCATTTGTTGAGGTTTTTTGTATTTGTATTTATTGACCACAGACTTGACCATTCATATATACAATACTAACCAGCATATATACAATTTCTTGTGTCCTCCATGGACAGGGGTTGGGAGCTATTCTAATACATAGTGTAGTAGTTAATGAGTACTCCACAGGTGATTGAAGTACTTTCACAGGTGTGGAGAGAGGTTGGCGTGGGGGAGGGGGGGGGGAGATGGCACTCAGCACACAAGTGAGCGACTTCCGTAAGCTGGAGACCTTGGAGCTGAACAGCCTGGAGGGTCGCATCTTAATGGTTCTGTAAGTGACGATAATTAAGTATTTTTTCCCCCCTTAAGCAAATGACTTTCTCAGTTAAAAAGTTGATGTTGTGAGCGCCGGTGACGACGTGGAGCGTCCTTCATGTTGACAGTTGATCATTACCACTCAACAGTTCGTCACACGTCACTCACCTCTCGTCACAACGTTACGGCGTCTGATACTTTGTGGGATACCAGCGTGCATAACATGATGGAAATATGGAAATGTATATACCTGGTTGATGGGGTTCTGGGAGTTCTACTCCCCAAGCCCGGCCCGAGGCCAGGTTTGACTTGTGAGAGTTTGGTCCACTAGGCTGTTGCTTGGAGCGGCCCGCAGGCCCACATACCCACCACAGCCCGGTTGGTCCGGGCTGTGGTGGGCACACATATCTTAAGATCTGTGTGCGTGTCAGTATTATCACTTATATGTACACTTGTCAACACAATTTATACACAAGTCCTGCATTTGAGGAAGGTCTGGGCTGTTCTCTAGCTAGCATGTCCTAAACCTTTTTCCTGAACAGCCAGTTAGAAAGGCGCTATATCGTTTATTGTTGACTGTTAGTAAAGAGGACTGTTGTAAATGACTGGGTCGGCGCTAGTAGGTAGTACAACACTCCCTACGGCCCCATGATGGACCGTGTCGCCAGCTTGGTAGATGGTGGAGAGGAGTGTTAGGGGACACGGGTGGCCGGGCCCAGCAATGTTGTACTATTCTCACCTTATTACAACGCTCCAGTAACGCTTAAAATACGTTATGGAGACGTTGTGCTGTTGATATATATATATGCTCGAGCAGCGTAGGATCAGACGTTATCAACGTTGATTCAGCTTAGGATCAACGTACAGTCAACGCTACAAACGTTGATTCAACGTTAGATTTCACGTAGTTTTACCCAGGTCAGATGAGAGGTGTCAGTACCAGCTCCAGAGGTCCACTCGTAGTGTTAGAGCCGATGTTCTCAGATACATAGGAAGTTATCAAGCTTATTTCTGTACTCTTATGTTATTTTGCCAGCAGTTACAGTGTGGCTCACGAGAGTGTGTATCTAGAGATCAGGAGACGCGGGGTCAAGTTTAGCAGTGACACCGTGGAGAAGGTTACTAGGAGAGGTCTCCATAGCCTCCTAGCAGGCAAAACAATCTTGAGTAACGTTGGATCGACGTTGAATCTACGTCGTGTGTCCACCATGTGCCGACTTGGGACGTAGTTGTTGACGTGTGAGAGTAGTGTGGTTGTTGACAAGGTCACGGAGCCGACCTTGACAACCCGGCCTCCCACTCATCAAGTACACACTGTTCACTAGACGACTTAACTACGCTTGATGCTATTTGTAAGCTGGCGCCATGCAGTCCTTGTATGCTTAATAGTGTTGTTTACTGCACCATTGAGATGTATCTGACCTTCTTCATCTGCCACGACCCTCATGACGTCAC